AGCTTCCTAGAAGGTCTCAATGAGGTTTTTGGTAATGAGGGGTTCCACATCTAATGATCATGAGTGTTTCTTGTCTTGTGTTGTTAATTTGTAATACTATTATGGCTATTGGCTTATTATGGCTTTGCTTTAAAACACTGAAATGCTCATAATTGCTTTGCCTCATTCTTAAAGCAGATCGTTTTAATATTTAGTTTTAGTTTCTGTATAAATCAACAAAAAGTTTAGATTTTTATGTTGGATAAAGTAGCATTATTTGATCCCCTTAGAACTCCTTGTTCTTGAAATACCTGACTTATGAGTAAACTGACTGTACTCTTCAGCTTGCTTGCTGCCCTATAAAAAGGCTGATAAAAAAGACATTTACATTGAAACCTCCAGTGTAACTTGATAGATATCCAGTGACAGTGGCCATCATTTATTGTTATGTACACAACCTGCCAGAGTTTTTATTCAGAGATACGGAACTTACGAGATGTCCTGATCAGATAACCTGTTGATGTCTTTAATCCTTTTGTTCTTTCAAGAAATAGGTCATTACCTGATTGTAGGTGTGTACTGAATTACCCCTTCCAGAGGCCATGTGACTCCAAATACAAAGGGGGCCAGTCTTCATCTGACTTATCTAACAGTGTTCAGAAGGAAGAATTATTTCAAAACAAAATCACACTGTTGATAGTGTAAAGATAAGACATGGGATAATTAACTGTGTATTTACACTAAATCCACCCAGTGAACTCCCCCTGCCCTATTCTATTGGCTGCTGTTTGGGGGGTGGAGGTTGTGGCTCATAAACTATGAAGCCTTGCTAGTGTGTTGTCTCAGGGGCCAACATATATAAAAGGTGCTGACAGGTGTTCTCACCTCAGGATGCCGTTTGGTCAGTCAAGGATGTGGATGCTCTTCTGTTTGAGTGCTTTGCTGGGGGTGTTGGGGTCAGAGGAAGCGCCCTCTGGAGCCGCTCAGCAGCTTCAGACTCTTCACTGCCCGCCCTGCGAGCGGATACACTGCTCCTCCCGACAGGCGCTGAAGCTCCAGTGTAAAGGTGGTGTCACGACAGGTGTCTGTGGCTGCTGCCCCGTCTGTGCCAGAGCAGAGGGGGAGACATGTGGAGGAACATGGGACTACCTGGGCAAGTGTGATGAGGGCCTGGTGTGTGTGTACCAGGGTTTGGCAGCTGACAAACCAGATGCAGGGCACAAAGGGATCTGTGAAGCAGGTGAGATCATCATTTACAGCCTCAATTAGTATCAAGCAGTTGACATGCCCTGAATGGATTTTTATCATTAATAGGCCATGGTGAGCCAAATTTATCCATACAGTGACCACCAATCTAAAAAATAAAAATGCAGCAATGTCTGAATTTTGCATCACAAAGGTTTTATGATTGAAAATGTCTGTAAAGTATCAAAAATATGTACCCACCATGCAGAATTGCTCAAATAAATGTTTTTATTGTATTGTTAGTACAGGTTAATTGAAATATAACCTGCATCTTAATGTTATAGCTATTTTATATACTGTTGGGTTGTCTATACTATAGCAATGCATCATATTTTGAAAACTAATCATATGTTTGCCCCTGAAATGTAGGGAAGTAAAAGTTTAAAGTAGCATAAACCTAAAAAAGATCAATTAATGACAGCACTTGAGTAAATGTACTTAACTACATTTCACCACTGAGTAAGTCATTTTAGTGGGAATTGTGCCAATGTGGTAAATCTTGTTTATGGGCTATGGACACTGATAGAGTGGTCAAGGCTTCCTTTGATTCAAAGGTTTCTTCTAACAGTTAAGCCATAATTACACCTGTTATCTCTTCACGGTGAAAAGAGTTGTCACTGTTATTGATACGGTATCAGAGGTAGTAGAGATTTTCATTGGTTTGTTGCTGCTTAGAGAAATATGTAAATATTAAATTTGATAATGCCTTGTGAAGAGTCACACTTCTGTTTCTCAGTGTTTGTTTAAAACCTGTGTTGTGCAGTGATTGAATCCTCGGATCCAGAGAGCTGTCACCCAGAGTGCACCAAGGAATACTGCCAGGCCAACCCCTCTGAAATCTGCTCTGCCAGGTGACTGACAGAAAACAAGAAGTTTTCCCCTCACTATCTTCTCACGCTGCATTTTTAACAGAAATCTGAATTTCCTGCTCTGTAGGTTTGTGTCTCTGGAGAAGACATCGTGCCAGGGCTCCTGCCAACACACCTCCTGTTCAAGCTGTCTGCTGCTGAAACCCCCGCCATGCCCTCAGACCTGCACCCCCTCTAATTCTTCCTGTCTACACCGCTTTGGGAAGTGTGTGCACAATCACCTGACAGCGACTCATAATGGTGTATGCCACAGCAACCTACAGGTAGGTGGGAGAAAAGCATCAACAACAAATGGCTTATTTTATAATAAAGTTCTGCCTCGAAACACTCACTAATGCAACACTGTGTCTTGCTTTTTTTTTCTCTGTAGAGTACTCCCGAGGGACATTTTCTATGTTTGGTCCCAGCCTGTCCAAATGAATCGAGGTAATTCCCTTTGTAAAGAGAGGAAACCCAGAGGAAACTAGCTCATGTAGCAAAATGGAAATAAGGCAGCTATCTATCAACTTTGTGTATTAACTTGAAAATTCTTCATCCAGCAATCTCATTTTGTATGCAATGTAAATTTGAATTAAAACCTGTGAAATTTTATGTATTTTAAATCATGATAAATAAAATTTCATGCCATACTGTACATTGTTTATTTTATTAATTTGATGTGAACAATGGTGGTGTTTTAACCATTGATGATCAGGTTGGGAGAAGACAGCTGGAACTATTCCAGGTTTTATACTACGCTGTCATATATATATATATATATATATATATACATATATATATATATATATACATATATATATATATATATACATATATATATATATATATATACATATATATATATATATATATATATATATATACATATATATATATACATATATATATATATATATAATATATATATATATATATATATATACATATATACATATACATATACATATACATATATACATATACATATACATATATACATATATACATATACATATATATATATATATATATATATTGTTATTAGTGAGCTTGTGTGGTTGGTTTCAGCATTTATTTTCACACAGTTTATTGTATGTTTGTTGTACCTTGTGTTCAAGCCTGACTGCCAGACAAAGTTGCTGTTTAATAAGATTCACGTCAGTACACAAAATCCATCTGCTTTGAAGCTGTGAGTAAGAGATATGTATATTGAGATGTTTGAATTCTCTTCTGAAAATTATTAACCTCATTGTATTGGGACTCAATTAATCCCACAATGCTCCATAAAACATAGTGAACAGATGATGGTAATTAATGAAGCAGTAACTAGCATGATGCTTTGCACATTACCTGCCTGGGTGCTGACTTTCCATACAGCACCTTCATCAGGTCTTAATGTTAATGTGTCATATACTTTGGTTAATGACCAAATACCTGCAAACATAACGATATTCCCATCAACTGTTTTATGCTAATTAGTAAATGTTGACATGCTAACACACTAAACTACCATAGTGAATAAGACAAACATTACATCTGCTGAACATCAGCATGTTAACATTGTCATTGTTGAACATGATAACATGGTGGTGTTAGCATTTAGCTCAAAGCACCATCGTGCCTAAATAGAGCCTCATGGAGGTGCTAGCATGGCTTTAAACTCTTGTTCTCAAGTTTAGATTTCTACAAAGAACTCCCTTTACAGTGAATGTTGAACAATGAATAAGTGAACCCATTTGGACACCTAGAACAAGTAGAAACAATGCAGCACAATTTTAAGAAGAAACCCTTGAGGCAGAGAAATGAAGAGGAACATTACAGTCGTATTAGTCCAGTACTGGGTCTCTTCTCTTTGAATTGTTCTCATTTTGGTGAAGAGTCTTGACTCCCCTCTGCCATCGCTGTCCCCCTGACTGTTGGTTATTGAATAACAGACAGTTTACGAGGCAGCAATAATGAAGCTTGCACCGAAAGGGGAATAAAGTGTGGACCAACAATGGACAGTTTGTTCTGTGTCCTTCAAATGTGAGCTGTTTCTGTAGAGGAGAAGCAGTTTATCTGAAGGATTTCACAAGAAGGAATCATTTTTTTATACCAAAACAAAGACCTGCGTTTTCTTTCATCTTCTTAACTTGTCAGTCGGTTGCATCATTGAAGTATATCTAAATAATATCCGGCGTTCAATCAGACAGAAGAGTGTGCCAAAAGAGGGAAACATGGGGAAATGAATAAGAAAAAGGGTCTGTGTTGTCAGCATTGTACAAACAATGCTGAAATGCATGAAATTATTGGTAAATACAAGGTATTGTAACTGTTTCCAAATCTTTAATAGACTTCCAAGAAACATATATATATATATATATATTTATAAGTATCTAAATCTAGAATTTCATAATTTTAGTTAATAATTTGTCCTCTTACAAGGTTGTATGACACAAAAAACTATATAAACTCTCTTCCTTTTTTTATATTTCCTGTGCTTCTAACTGTGGATAAATTTAGCATATCAGGTAAATTTGAATAGAATGACAGGTTCTGGTTCCAAAGCGGGCCACCTCGGTTATTAATGCCATATAGCCATCTCACTATTTTTTTACTAATAAATACAGCAGATAACAAAGAACTGTCTGCGTGCCAGCTGTAATAAATGTGCCCCTGTTAGAGGAAACCATGTTCAGGTTTGAATAAAACACAAAACCCAGCAACAAAGGAAAAGAACAAAAGATTATTATGAAGGAGTGACCTTCAAGTAGATTTTGATGTTCGGAAAGCAGCTGCAGAGTTCTGCATGATTATGCTCAGCATATCTGAATAATGTGTGATGTTATAAACTCATGCCTAAACAAGCCTGACAGTCATTTAAAGTCAACTACACTTTTGAAGACTTACAACAAACTAACCTCACTCAAACCCTTCAAACAACTTAAACCAAGTATCAAAAGAATAATTTTATTAGCGTCAAAACTTTTAACTAAGGACCTGCTGCCTTTAAGAGAACATCCAGCTTACTTCTTTACTGCAATACATTTATCAGTAGCCTTTCGGTGATCCATCATTAGAAATACAGTATGTCAGCAAAAATTACCTCATAGATTTTTTCCTTCATTAAACCTAATTATTATATTCAATACCTTAAAGTTTCATTTAAATCATCATTTAGAAGAATGGTCTTATTACCAATATCAAATATGAACATGAATACACAACAGGATCTCACTAGCTGCTATTTGAAAAATTGGAATAACAGTAATTTTAGTTATTTGTACATATAAAGAAAACAATGATTGTAGAGAGAAAACTGTATAAAAGGTGCATAAAACTGCCTCCAGTCAGTCTCTGCTCAGGAAGGCACTGTGGACTACAAACATCCAGGCCATTTGTCCCATTGCATTATCACCTAAACAGTCTGTTCCAAAAGGAAACGAAGGTGGTGGAGTTGAAGGCACCGATGAATATGAGCAGCAGAATATAGAGGCTCATCATGATGGCAAAATGGTGTCTGAGGAGCCAGGAGGTGCTGCGGGAATGTCTGAAGAAGAAAAACACAACAATGACTTCTTTGCCTGCAACAAACAAAATGTACTCATTTACTCTGTTTCCAGAAAAACAAGAGGCCTGAATTGTACTATGGTTTTTGTATAGTTCCTATATTCTAATACAGTGTAATCAGAATTGTAATTATATGAATGATTTTAAACATATTCATCTATTTCTGTTCCATGTCTTTTCTATATTCCTATTTAAGATTTAACTTTTGTATTTCTACAAAAGGTTTAAATAATGTTGTTTGCTTTAATGTGTCTCCAAGTGTACAAGTCTTTATAAGAGTATTAAGTATTGGTAAATAAAACCGTAAAGAAAACTTCTAATGGTAATCATCTCAACACTTCACTGTTCACACTGAGCACAAGTGTACACGCTGAGCTCAGCTGGATAATAAAAGTGAATGTACAAGTTGTATTGTTGTGTTACGGGGAATTCACACATACAGATACAAAGAGGCATCTGTTACAAACCTGAAGCTTACGAGTGTGTTTACATAGCACGTAATTTACATACTCAGCTGTAACTGGGCAGTTATTTCGCCACACTGCCACTACACTGGCACATGACAAAGTCGATTGCAGCACAAGCGTGTTTTTTAAGGTTCAGCTCATAATAAATGGCATGCTGTCTCCAGTGTTTAACTTTGTGAGTAAATGTTTTGCAAAACACTTAAAAAAAACATTTGTGTGTAATTTGGCTTATACATAAAAACTTTTTCAGCATTTTCATCCTTTACCCACAAGTGATCTGCAAAACTACATTTGACCCAGGAGCTTCTTACCTGGACAGGTGCCTCCTTTGAGAGTAAACAAGCAGGTACTTGACTCGCAAAAGCTGATTGTTGGTGACTACAAAGTACTTCTGCGGTACTTCCCCTCCTTCGCTGTTCTTTGCTCTTGAGCGCTGACGGTCAATGATTTCCGAATCTGAAAAGGGAAACGATTTTCTGGTTTTAATCTGAAAAATGTATGTTATTCTGTGAGTCCAGTCAGTGACACGGTTAACACACCTTTTTTCTTCACTTGGCACTTAACATCTGGGTGATCGATGACTTCACACAAGGCAACACAGCTGAGCAGTGGACCTAGGAGGCTTTCTCGCCAGCCGCTGCTGTGTGGACTATAGAGGACAGCCATGCTGAGGTCACTGGTGAGGTAGGTCCCCTCTCCAAACACTGAGTTCTGTACACAAGATGCAGAAAATAAACCACATGGACTGAGTTTTTGTGTTGGGCAGAAACAGCACTTTAGTAATCTCTGCACCGCAACACTTACGCAGGTCTGTAAGCCTGTTATTGCCACAGAAGAGATGAAGCAGTGATGACTGCACTAACCTTGTTGAGGTGACAGTGCAACCCATTGTGAATGATAGAGTGAAAGTTTTCTAGGCGGCTCCCGTGGAACGCATAGAAGACGTCTCTGCCTGCCCTCGTCTTCTCAAACCTGGCGTTCATCTGATCGCAGTACTCCAGCTCAAACAGGAAGTCTGGCACTGGCGCAGAAATCCCTTCATTTTCCGTAAGGTTACAAAGTTTGGCATACTGGTAGAGATCGAAGACACACACTATGAACAAAAACACAAGCAGTAAAATACACTGTTTACGTATTTATTCTTGTAGTGGTGTACCTCTTCTTTCTGGAGTGTCTTCACAGCAAAGCTTTTTGAGGAGAGAATCCAGTGTGTGAGAGCCAGGTGATGATTTCCCTGTCTGGGTCGTAGTCTCACCAACTCTCTCACGCCCGGCAAAGAGTTCACATCTGCCAACTAGAGAAGAATACAAATCATGATCATATAGCCAAAACAGGGGTGGTCACACCTGTCCATACAGTATACCTTGTCTTCCCTTTCACTGTATCGTATGCACATCTGCATTAGGGCTGCAAAATTAATCTAATCACAATGTCGTCATGTGCGATAACATAACCGGAAAAAGTGCGCGGGCTCTCGCAGCTCTCGGCTGTGGCTCAGGAAGAGGAGCGGGTTGCCTGTTCATCGAAAGATCGGTCGTTCAATCTCCGGCTCCTCCAAGCTGCATGTCGAAGTGTCCTTGGGCAAGATACTGAACCCCAAATTGACCCTGGTGGCTGTTCCACCAGTGTATATTAGGCTCAGTGTATGAACGGTGAATTCGATGTAGTGATTCATTTAGCTGACGCTTTTATCCAAAGCGACTTACAACTGCTATTTATATCAGAGGTCGCACACCTCTGGATCAACTAGGGGTTAAGTATTTTGCTCAGGGACACATTGATGGATGTGTCACAGTGGGGAGTTGAACCCGGGTCTCCCACAATGCATGCATCTTATCCACTGAACCATCACCACCCCATATAAAAGTCAATGTCTAAACTCAGTAATTTGGAGTGAGTGTGTGTTTTATCATAAGTATCTTACTGTCGCCAGGATGGTCTAATTATACTCGGTTATAGGAACTACTTCTTCTTCCGCCTGTCAAAGTCATGCTTGCGCTACGGCTCTGAGAATGAGCTTCTTTAAAGTGAGCTGATGCAGCCCTTTACGTTTCCTGCGATTGAATACTGACTATGGCTGACTCACGTCTGGCTGTATTTTGGCTGTGAAGGTAATAATGACGCTGTGTGTGATGTGTGTGCAAAGACAGTGAAATACTTTGGCACCGCAAACTTCACTAAACATCTGAGATTAAGTCACAATAATATGATGATGTTATGAAGAGGCAGTTCTGAGCAGGATAACTCTTGTAGTCTTGTTCTTCACCTGTTTACTGAAACACTGCCACCTCTAACCACACAGCCACCAAGTGTATGTTTATCATGCCACCATCATGCTCATTGTGTGCATAAGACTGGGACAGGACAGGAGTATTTTTGTGAGAGAGGGATGGGACAGGAGTGAAAATCCACTCCCATATCACCCTCTAGTGTGCATGTGCATTCTTTCTAAACAAAAGTAAAAAGGTCACAATCACATTTTCTTTTCTGAATTCACTTATTGCCTTTATTGCTTACTAATATATCTCATTTATCTAAAATTAAGGCACTTAAAATGAATTATGTCAGTGTTTGACATAAAAGCACAAACGGTTCATTTGCTTTTGGCTGTCATCATATATCTTACCAGCTCCTCAAAGTCCTTACTGTCACCACTTATGTATCTAGGCGGGAAGGGTCTGAGCAAAGAGTCCCTCTTGTAGTTCTGTGCAGCAGCAACAAACAGGCTGCAGCGGAGGTCTGCTGCTACTGGGTCTCTGTGCAGACAGGAGCACACCAGCTCTCTGACCGCCTCAGGTGGGAGCGGTGGCTGCATTCCCAGCACTGCGGACAAAGGAGATAAGATAACGCACAAGTGAGCGAAGTCAAAAGTTAAGTTGATGTTATCACCTTAACAGCCAAAACCCATAAGGTGATAACGGCACAGCAAACACCTCATGACAATTTATAGGGGGGTAACAGAAATGGTTTAAGAACTGTTGTGTGGTGCCAAACTGTGCACTCCCATCAGAATCTGACTCCAATTAAGAATGTTTTCTTTTTGTCTTGGTTTTTAAAATATAAAACACTTATCATAGTCCAAAATGTGTGAAGGAGCAGGATGCATATTTTTGCAGCATGAAGTCGTCTCTCTCCTAAATGTTCTCTTACTTTGAAGGGAAGACATATTTTGATAGGAATACAACATTTTGCATTGTTCTATTATTACCTGTTCGTATGACAGCCAACTGGTCGGGCATAGGCTAACGTTAGCTCATCTTCAAATTTAGCAAACAGGTACACACGTAAGCTACTCGCAAGTTCGGCACTAACTTAACCTACGTTACTTTTGTTAGGATTTAACGTCTACTGTAACGGTCAACATCAAAACAAAAACTGACACTCCGATTAAAAAAAGCCCCATGTAGTTCCTTTTCTAGTGCTGACAACTTTCCTGGAAATAATAACTGACGTTACTGTCTAGTTCCTGTATTAGCTAGTAGCATAATGTTGCTCCTCTTAAACTGCCGTAGGATGGTGAGAAAAAGCTACGTTAGCTAACATTAGCTGAGCAACAACAAGTGAAGGGCTGCTAATATATCTATCGCCGAGTAACGTTACTGATGACAAATGCAACACTGTCGGACTACTTTGGGATCCTGAATATATCGTGAATACATCAGTGTAGCACATAAGCACATTAACTTGACAGACAATAGTTAATTATCATTATATGCCGTTACCTTTAGTCTCGCTCAACTCATAACACTGCAGGAAGAGCTAACGTTAGCTTTGGGAACTGCTGCGTTCATGTTCTGTAAAATAAAGCAATTGTGAAATTTTGTAAACAAAAACCATAGAGAAAAACACGGAAATGTAAGTTAATGGTAAAGCGTTGGGGGGGGGCGTGTCAGTAAATTAATACAGAGAAAGAGTACACAACTAAATTGGGCGACAAACGCGTTTGTGTATTTTTCATCTCCATTCTATTATGTGCCAGAAGCACCATTTACGAGGAAATGTGAAAGCAGCACTACGGTACTGGACTGATCAGAGAGCCTTTTAAGAGTTTCACAGCAGAAACAAAATATCACTCTCTCACCTGTCCCAACAGCTGCTCGGGACCACGGAAAGACTTGTCAGGTGCAGGGGCGTCAGAACAACAGTCCCGAAACCAAGAAGGCACGATAGATTGTAAATGCATGCATGCATGCATAAATATATCACATGTAGACCTACCACGTATGTCTTTCTGAGAAAATCTGCGTTTTTTTTAATTTAAAATAGTTTATATCCTTTTAATTTGTGTTTCAACGTTTTAAGCTGTATTTTCAGTTGTTTTATGCATTTCAAAAAGTCCTTTGAGGTGCCTTTATTAATGAAATGTGCAACACGAATAGTTTATTCGTGTTGCACATTTCACATCCTTGTCTTAAATGTGTTTTTTTTGCTGTAATGCTTGATTAGTATATAGTGTGCTAACAGGCAGCCAATCAGATCACGGGTAATGTCTCCTCTGCTTTTCAGCACTGTGGACAGCATCAGGAAGGGGCGGGGCTTGTATATTTTAAATTAAGGCCTATTTATATTTCTGCTTTGTGATTGGTTGTTTTAGGACAGCAACAAATCCCGTTTTTCTGTCCTGAGCCATGGTCCTGCCCGGGCGGGTAAAACCAGCGGAGGGAGGGAAGTGGGGGTATGTGCGTAAAGAAAAGACCTTACGTCACGTGACCGCCCCTTACTCCCAAATCCATCAATTGAGGAATAACCTAAGATATTTCTGTCTTATCACCGTTAGATCTGACTGTTTCCTCGGGTGCGTTTTAATGCTCATTAATCCAAAGGATGCTATTTAAACGAACTGAGAGATTCTAGCGACATTCTCGGACTAAACGGAAGGTAAGGCGTTTCATCGCTGCATTTTCATTCATTGCACTCCATCTGGGGCAGGATTGAAATTAATGTATTAAAATAAACCGGATTCGGGATCAGTAAAACCTCGACATCTGTAGCCTGGGTTGCTTATTGTGAGGAGTTTGTGCTTGACCTGCTCGGCGTCCGGAAGCACCGATGCACCGTGTCGCACAGGCTGAAGGACGCTTCTCCGTCGCCTGTGATCACGATGCACTGTGCCCTACTGCAGCATCACTGCCATCCGCTGAAAGAAATACACATTTAAGACATGTTTAGGGTCACAATGCATACATTCAACCAGGATCAGTCTGTGTCAAAAATTGCTTTGTTTTGTGGCAGTAAGATGCCCTTTAGAGTTTTACTCCACATCCACCATCATCATTGAAATGTGATTTACAAACACAGTCAGATAATGTAGGCTAGAAGGTGGTCGATTATAGAGCTAAACAAACAGCTCTACTAGGCTATATATAGCCCAGTCTGTAAACTCAATAGGCATGTAACACGCCTATATAGCGCCCATAGGTTATGAATACATTTTAGGAATCACGACAAGGCCACACTTTTTCCCACCGCGCGCGTTGCACAGCTGTAATGTGTTCAATAAAACGTGTTTAACTCAGTCGATTTAATGAATGATGCACCACCATAGGTGGATATGCTGGAAGGGCTGGGTACCACCTCTAATCAAAGCATATAGGAGGGATTAAAAGTCTTTCCAGTGAAGTGTGTTCCTGCATCCACATGAAGGCCTATAGAGGATTGTGGCCTGTTGCCTGGTGTTAAGAGAGTGATGTTGCACTTCATAAAACAGCTCTGTTCTTTCTCTGCAGATTGGTTTTCAAGGCAGCTGAGATTGAAGTTCTTGTGTCTCTTTGCAAGCAGACAAAAATACGGAACGGTCATCATGGCAGGTAAGCTTTCCTTTCTTTTCAACTACACAGTTGTGTAAAGCTGGCTGTCATTGCAAAATCAACCCATTTATATAGGCAAAATACTAATCATTCATGTTCATGCAGCTGTTTGACTTGATTTCTTTACGAATTTGGTGTGTGGGCAGCTGTGTTGAACTGTGTCTTTGTATCCTAGAAAACAACTTCCCTCCTCTGCCTCGGTTCATCCCCCTCAAGCCATGTTTTTACCAAGACTTCAATGAGATCCCAGACGGGTGTCGCAGCATGTGCAAGAAGCTGTACTACCTATGGATCTGTGAGTTTACCAGCAGTAAAAGTTTGTGTTGACTACTGGCTTGCAGTTCAGTAAACATCTGCTACCACTCAGGTTTCATCGCGTATGTTGCTTTGATCATTGTGTAAGCTGTTAACCTGTACGACTCAGTTTTTTCATGCTATGTCACTTTGTTTTACCCAAAATATGATGAGAGTCAAACATCATAGACACTCATAGAACTGTGAGACCAGGTTGACCGTTCTCAATGTCTGGCACAGAGCCAGTTTAAAATTTTTATGCATAGTAAATATTGTGCCTTAAGTTTGTTTGACACATTTGCTTCTTGCTCTGTGTTTTAACAAAATCTCCTCAAATCTAAAATCAGATTGACTTTGATCAAATCAGTCAGCAGAAAATTGCTATTTTCGATTATCAATTTATCGATTAAGGTATTTTTCAAGCAAAATGCCAAATTTCTCTGCTTCCATCTTCGTAAATGTGATTATTGCTGCTTTTCTATCATTGAAGATTCAATATCTTTGAGTTTTGGCCTGTTAGTCGGACAAAAGAAGATATTTGAAGACATCTTGGGCTCTGGGAAACTGCTTTTCTCCACAAATTTTTGTCATTACCTAGACCAGACTAATTAATTAAGAAAACAATTGTAAATTGTGTCCTTTAGTGATAAAGGTGTAATGTGTCAAATTGTAATATTCACATGAGCATCATGTTATATTTTTCATTATCACATAGGTTCTGCCATTCGAAAACAAGAATGTAAGTGGTGAAAAAGTAGATTAGTTCACACTAACTGTTTGGTACTTGTAGAGTAGAAATGGTGTGCTGTGTGTGCTAAATAAACTGTAGCTCCAGTCCTCATTAATGTATTGTAGCATTAATATAGAACAGAAAATTTGGTGCAGTGATTCAATCCTGCTGAATTCTGAGTAATGCAGCCTTTGGGATACTCGCCATAGAGGTTTTTGTCTTCAGTCTTGTTTTGGTCATTGTTGCGCTCTCTCTGTTCACAGTGAATAGTGCCACACTGGCTGTTAATCTGATTGGCTGTCTGGCGTGGATGTGTGGAGGTGGTGGAGCGACCAACTTTGGCATGTCCTTCCTGTGGCTCATCCTCTTCACCCCATGCTCCTACGTGTGCTGGTTCAGGCCCATCTACAAGGCCTTCAAGTGAGCTGGGTCCACACTGAGCATACTCAAAATCTATAGCCACTGCACTGCTGAATCACATCCTTTCTGACGTTTATTATCCTCTCTATCTAGGACCGACAGCTCTTTCAACTTTATGGCTTTCTTCTTCGTCTTCATGGCGCAGGTGGTTATCAGTATCATTCAGACTGTTGGCATTCCAGGTTGGGGAGTGTGGTAAGAATTTTTAACTGTTTACTATCCAACACAAATATCTAATATGTTTATATAAAGTGTAAATGGTGATGGATGACAAATTAAAAGAGAATAAACCACATAAAGTTAATTAGCAATACACCTTCAGAGCGTCAGTGCTCCTTGGCATAGATTCTTCAAGTCACTGGAACTCCATCTCCATGGAATAAACACCATTGTGTTACGTCCCGAGGTGTCTAGGGATATTGGGACATAAACATAAACCAGATGTTGTTGGTTTGAAAGGATATTTATTTGAAGTAACGCAAATGGGCCAATGGGTGCTGTGGAAATCAACAAACAATTATAACAAAATGAGATCCTCAAAAGGAGGATTACTGCTCTACAGGGGTACTAACAAAAACAAGAGTAAACCAAAAGCTCACTAACCTACAGCATTTGCAAAAACCCAAAACACAAAGTGCACAGCACCCCTGAACCTGGTGAAAACTAACATAAAACAACTACGGTGTGTGCAAGAAAGGTGTCCGTTATCTCGAAGCTTAAACCTGGCCCACTTCCTTACCTTCACACAGTGAAACACAGTCAAGACACAAAGTCTGGCACAGGTAACAAAACACTACTACAAGCTCTGAGACATGTGTTCCCAAGGCAAGCAACTCGGGTCAGATTGCTGCCCCAAATGGCAGACCCGGGAGGCTTTTAAGCAGGTGGTGGGCGTCACTGTCGCCCTTTGATTGGCCCGTAGTAGCATGCTACACCAATCGATGGCATGGTCACCGGAAACCCAGGAAGTAGGCGGGACCTTCCCTCCTCGTGCAGCCAATCCTCCGCGTGGGCTTGCACAGCCTGCTCAGCATACCAGATAGCCTACTCAAAAGCACAGGCAAATACAGGTGGGGCGGTGGCAGCCGTAACAAGTATGACCTGCATGCAAGCATATCCACATCTTTATTAAGATGTTTCCTTAAATTTGTCACCCATGTGTACTCAAATGATGATGAAGCAGAAAAAATAATTAATTAATCTACCATCACCTTGGTATACTGTACCATACCCAGCACTGAACAAAAAGTTGTCTTTATAATTTACACACAGCACAGTTCTATTAAGGTGAGAATAGGTTAGTCTACAGGGTTACTGCC